ATGGATTGATGGACGGATGGATGTGTATGTAACTGTATGACTAAATATATATAAGTGCAATTATAACACATCAATAATAATTTTTACTTATTTCATAACTCTTGAGGAACAGAGGATGGGGTGTACACAATCAAAGTACAATGAGAAATATAAATTTAATCGTTTAATGTTCTTAGTAGCGCGAATGATGTGTTTATACTTTACAGCTCGAAGGCTTGAAATACTCTAAACGGTCTTCGCGTATTACCGTCGCTAACCTTTGTGTTAGACTTCCCCCACTTTGCTAACCAGTCGGTAACTTGCGTTACCAAAAGAAAACGCGCTAAATTTAAAAGTCCTAACAATAACAATATCATAGAAATTTAACACGTATTATCTCCAAGAACGCTCCGAACCCTTTTTTGGGCCCTGGACGAACTTGCCAAATTGCACCCTTTCTTTACAATTAAAGTTGCCATATTTTTTGCTTTTGTTGCAGTCTATATATATTAGACATACCCTTCTTCAAAAAATGTTCATTGACCTTTTTTTTAAGAAAGTATTCTTGCCTATTAATATTTTTTAAAAGACCATTTTGCGTCCCTTGTCAGCGTCCTAAAGAAGTTACCTAGTTTGCCCATAGGCCATGATTATCTTCTGGTAAGAATTTTACAATCTGTTCCCTATTTTTGAACAGATTTTCTAATCGGTTACTGGCTTACATAAATAAGTGTTAATATTATAAAAATATTGCATATCGTAAACGAAACTTAAAATTGTCTGAATTGCGTCGTGTTTCGTGTCATTTTTGTCAAGAAAATTTCGCCAATATATTGCATATACTTTTATCAAGATACAACAATAGAATATCCAAACCTGGATGAATAATAAGAAAATAATGTTAACTTCGGTTACGCATATTATCTCTTTGGAGTATCTACCTACCTGCGGGTGGTCATAAAAACCAGCCCACAGTTGGAAAGAATAGCAACGCCCAAGCTCCAAGGATTTGAAAAAGGACAAGACCGAGGAAAAAGCCAATGTTATTCCCGAACGTTCGCCGGATCCATCACCTCGTGGATCGCTGAATTTTGTTCACGAACACAGTTCTCGCTAACCCAGCGGGACTAGTTTTACGATTTCACACCTATTACGAGGGTCATCTATAAGTGAAATCTGTTATTTCTCGTCCGCACTGCGGCGAAAAGCGGTGACTAACAAGGTTAGCTAACATGTTCACGAACGATGTATACGAACAGCGTTCGCCGCAATGTGGACTCGGGGTTACAAACAACAATGGGTGAAAAACGTGTCCTATACCCTTGCGCAGGGATTCGAACCCTAACCCGTACCGGGTTCCGGTATTTCGTATTATAGAATAACCCATCTAACCAGGTAACACAAGACATCTATAACCCGAGTAACCTGGTTAACCCGGTTGTATGGGCGTTATAATAATACAGTAAAAACCATAGTTATTACCATGTTTCTAATATTGTCTGTTTTCTACTCACTGTCCATCCGCGAGAAGAAGGTCATGCAAGTGCTTACATTACTCGTATTTACTACTCGTTTACTGTACTTATGTAGCAGAACGGGGACGTAAACGCTTGCCCAGCCCTCTTCTTGCGGACGAATAGTACATTGGCATAAACAGCCACTTGAAGGAATCCCTATTTTGACCGGACATGTTATGAGTTTTGTAGGAACCCCAACACTAGCAACTGTGACAACCGGGCGAATGATAAACATTCGTCAGTCTTGCCTTAGAACGTGTAGTAATCGTTCGTCGTTCGCTTTTCGCTGTGGAATTTAGTAAAACTACGTGCATATACTATACGTTTGTGAATTCCGTTTCATTTATTTTATTGTGTATTGCATTGTAGGAATAATTTCGAGAGAGATCGACTACACGAAAAAGGACACGACGATGCCGCCGTGTCGACGCGCTTCTTTTGTTTTTGCGATTGTTACCGAAAAGCCGCACGGCGTGATGCGTTGTGCGAGGTCAGTATGATTTTGAAAAGTATAGAAATTGAGTCGACGGAAAGCGGTGCCGCCGAAGGCATTTTATACTTGTGTATTGTATATTAAAAACTATTAATAAATCATATATATATTTCTATTTTAATACAAACTCTGTCCTCCTCCTCCATCTTCAAATCCTATAACAAGATTGAGCATCCTGTGCGTCAATATTTTTCATTCAATGAGAATGAAAACAAATCAGAAACAAACTAGTCAGAATCTAAAAAATTTAGTTCTAGATGTACTGAAGAAATACAATCTTACTGCAAACAATGTTTATTCTGCAACGACTGATAATGATGCAAACATGTTTAAAATGATTCGCTTTCTTAGAGAAGAACAAGAAACTTGTAATGATAACAGTGAGGATACCGAGCCGGACGATGTTTTTCTTGATGAATATCACGATGAGTTTTATCTAGAAGGTGAGCAATTATTTCCCCCTTGCGGCAATTGTTTTGAACTAGTAGCCGTACAGTATGTTGCACACACGCTACAACTTGCTGTTCAAGATGCCATACAAGCCTTCAATATCGAGGAACTATTAAAGAAAACACGCGAACTAGTAAAAAATCTCCGCAATACCACCTTAGGAATTATTTTACGAAATATGAAACTTCGTAGACCTATTTTAGATTGTACGACTAGAGGGAATTCCACATTCAATATGTTAGAAAGATTGGTTGCATTAAAAGAATTTTGTTCTGAAATTAATGATACAACATTATCCGAAAATGAGTGGGATACTATCGACCAGTTAGTAATCACTCTCGAACCAGCAAAAATAGCAACAAAGAAGATGCAGTATGAGGAGTTGTTAATGAGAGATTTTTATGTTGTATGGATACAATGCAAATTAACTTTACAAAAAATAGAGAATAATTTTGCCACAATGTTATTACATGCAATACAAAATCGTGAGCATGAAATTATGAATAATAAGTCTTTGTTAGCTTCAGTATTTTTGGATCCAAGATATAAAAATTTCCTATCCGTATCTAAAAAGAATACCGACATTCCACATTTAATGAATACATGGAAACAATACAGGACCTTGAATTCTGATCAAATAGTTGAAACGCCTACTGAAAATTCGTTTATTTCATCGCCTGATGACATTGAAAGATTATTAATAGAAAAAGATACAAAGCAAAAAAATTCATCAAATACAGTCTTTAATATTGCTGCGGCATTAGATGCGTTTTCTTAAAGTCCTAGAATAAATAAAGAACAGAATATTTTAGAATATTAGAATAAACACAGTTTTTCCGAACTCCGAATTCTTGCAAATATTATACACGGGGTCTCAGCAACTCAAGTATCTGTAGAACGATTATTTTCAGGTGTGAAGTTTATAGTTAACGATCAAAGGTCGAGACTCAATAACGATATTTTGGATGATATCATGGTTGTCCGAACGAATGTAATTACATAGTTTGTTATAAATATATGCGTATGCGTGTGTGTTCATATTTTGTATATATTTATTCCGTCTTTAACTTATGTCTGTTCATTGTACATTTATTATGCCAAATAATTGTTGAAGTTTAAAAAGAAAGTACAAATACCGTTTCTAACAACTGTGACATACCTCGCGTGAGCGGCCGGGAATGAATTTATTTAGAAGAATTGGACACCAGTGCCAAGTGGACGCGTCCGTTACTTTCATCCTTCCGGGTGCTCTACGAGGAGCGAAACTCAGGGGGGGTCGAAAGGGGGGGAAATAAACTTTGATCGGAACCGACGCGGGGGAATTCCGCGGTACACACACCGTTGGGGAAAAGGGTGTGGCGACTACGTGCCGAAAGAGATACGCGGCGCGGAATTCCCGATACAAAAGAAAGTATTCGACGGAAAGAAACGAATACGTTACCGGCGCGACTTAACTCTATAGGGGGCCTAGCAAACAAATAGTCCGTCCTAGAATCAAATACAATCGAAAAGGATTACACCGGGAATTAACGGTTTCGCGTTTCGAAGGGGCCCTCTCCTTTGAAACGCGGCGCGTTCTCAAACCGCGCAAGGTCACGCGGGAGATTCGCGAAACGGACGGAGGGAAGTCTCACGGAGTTCCCTCTGGTGGTGGTCCTGTCGCGGACGAAAAGGGGTGCTCCGGAGCACGCTCGCGGACACACTGGGGACACCACACTCGCGCAACACCGAAACAAGAAGGAAATCCAAGGGGACACGAAAAGTAGACGCGGTATGTCTAAAACCCCCCAAAGAAAAAAAACGAAACGAAAGTTGTGACTGATCGGGCAGCTAACCCTTCTTTTCGCCCCCGAACCGGTGGACGAGAAGAAGGTGCCGCTGAGAACGCGGGGAAACGGACTTTGGTGGTGGACTTCGGACTGCCTGCGGAGCGAGGGCCGGAAGAAGGCTCCCTCCCACGCGCAACACAAATTTTGGCTCGTCCGAACTCCACACTAAGGCGGGGCTAACCAGGAAAAAAAACCTTCTACGTGGGATCACTCGACGCTAGCAAAGGGTTCCTTTGCTGCGTAGCGATCAACCACGGAGGCAAGGACGTCACAAGGTGGACAATACAAAAAAAAAAAGATTCAAAAGAAACTGAAATAAAAAAAAAAGAAAAGAGAAGATAAAAAAAAACCTAAACTAACCTAAGGGTAAAGGCAACAACTAAGATGTGTTTTTTTCCAAACATTTTTTTTTTTTTACATGTAGACGGGCCTGGTCGGCCTCAACGCCTGGGCGGGTGGCGAGGCTGGGAGGCCGGCGTCGCGCCACGCAAACTACCATGTAGGTAGGACATAATCTGCGTGGCGGTATTAAGGACGTCGGCCTCTCGTCCTGCGCCGCCGGCTGGTGCCGGCTGTCCTTGGGGCCGTCCCTGTGGCGGCCTGGGTGTTGGCCGGCTTTGGGCCGGTGGTCTTCGACGAGGAAGGGGGGGGGGGGCTGTGGTCTGGCCACTCTCCCCCTTGGTGACCTGCCGGTGTTTCGGGGTGCCGAGATGGGCGCCCTCGGCGGCGCGCTCATGGGCCCTGGTGCAGGGGCGACGGGGTTTCAGACAGGCTCCTTGGGGGGCTGCCTGGAACGGCTGCTCCGCTCTGTGGCGGAGGACGGCAGCGCTCCGTCCCGGTCTTCCTCGTCGATTCATTTTTGGCTAAAATCAAAGGGTTGTTGTTATTCTCGGTCGTCCTCTCGTTCGGATTCTCTCCCACGAACGGTTTGAGGTCGGAGACGTGAACTTTTGGGATCATACGCGTTCCCTTCGTCTCCACCTCGTAGACGACCGGCGACAGGACCTTAATAACCCGAAAGGGGCCTATAAATGCGGCGGCGAGTTTCGCGGCTACGTTATCCGCGGCCGACGAGAGGACTCGGTTTCGACGCCAAACTAAGTCCCCCACTCTATACCGTATATCGCGACGGTGTGAATCATAATAGCGTGCTTGTCGCGTGTGAGCTCTTTCGGGACTCTCTGTTACTATGTCGTGTAACAACGGTAGCCGACGCATGCGTTGCGCCCATGCTCGCGGATCTTTGCTCTCGAGCAAAGGTTCTCCTTCCACTACACGGCGCAGACTGCTTACCACGCACGATGCTCTGCTCAAATTGAGCACCGCTGGAGAATCGCCAACGGAAGAATGTGTGGTGTTATTCACGGCGAATCGGAATTCGTGCAAATGCACGTTCCAACTACGGTGGTCCTTTTTGACGAAGGTCGAAATCATCATCTTAAGGACGCGATTAACTCGCTCCACCGGATTCGGTATGGGGGAATCGTTCGATGCGATATTCCCCATTCTTTTAGAGCGTTATTGAGCTCTTTATTACAAAATTCGGTTCCATTGTCTGTGAGGAGTATTTCGGGCGCTCCCCACCGGAATACCACCAGGTCATCAAGCGCGGAAAGAATCGCGGATCCTGTAGCTTTTCGAAGCGCTTTACACTCAACCCACTTCGTAAATGTGTCTAAAAACACTACAATGTACCGACTTTGGTCTCGTCCTAAGGGAAAAGGACCCATTATATCGGTGGATACCACGGCCCATGGCCGAATGGGGATCCGCCTACCCATGAGACCAGCAGGAGCGCGCTGCTCGACCTTGTACTGATAGCATTCGAGACACGCTCGTACGAAGCGACGAATGTCTCGAAACATTCCCGGCCAGTAATATCTCTGGCTTACGCGTTTATAAGTTTTCTCCGCGCCAGGGTGGCCGACGGAGGGAATGTCATGGGCTTTCCGGATGGCCTTTTCTCAAAACTCTTTTGGTAAGACGAGTTTCCACGCGTCTTCCCCGATGATCTCTTGTGTCGGAGACGGACGATGGAAATACAAGCGACCGCCTTCGATACGCCAATCGGGGTAGGACGCAGGGTGCGATCGATCTTGGTCCAGGCGGCCAGCGCACCAGGTATCGTCGATATCTTTAATGGCCGCTAGAAGGTCGTCTGGAACCAGTGCACGTGAAAGTGCATCGGGCACCTGGTGTTGGGATCCCTAGCGATGCACAATATTGAACGAATATTGCAGCATATCAAGGGCCCAACGGGCTAGCCTCCCGGTCGGATCTTTTAAATTATGAAGTTATGAAGTTATGACCGTGAAGGTGTACCCTTCCAAGTACGGACGGATTTTCTTTATTGCCCATAATACGGCCAAGCACTCCTTTTTCGTAACCGAGTATTTTTGTTCGGCCGCGTTCAAAACTCGATTCACAAAAACAATGGGATGTTCTTCTCCGTTATGTTCCTGTGTGAGGACCGCGCCGATAGCGTAGTTGCTCGCGTCCGTTTGAAAGACAAACGGAAGTGAAAAGTCTGGGCGAGCAAGTACGGGAGCTTGGCTCAAAGGTTCCTTCAAATTTTTGAAAGCTTTTTGCTGTGCTTCTTCCCAAACCCAGGGCTCGTTCTTTTTGAGCAACTGTACCAATGGGACTTTGTCCCGCGCATGATTCGATAAAAATCTGGCGTACCATCTGATCATGCCCAGAAAACTGCGCAGTTGCTTAAACGTGGTGGGCGCCGGGTAGGACGAAGCAGGCGCCACCTTTTCGGGGTCGGTTCGAGGCCTTTTTGGTTAATCAAGTATCCCAAATATCAAACCTCTTGTCGACAAAATTCGCTTTTTTCCCGATTTATTTCGAGCCATGCCGCGTTAAGTATTCCGAGAATCTTTTCGATCCATTGAAGGTCAGAATCGAAAGTCTCGTTGCCGATTACAATAACGTCAAGATATGTGAATACGTGTGGTTCCAATTCTGGACCAATCGAACGGTCCATCAGCCTCTAAAACGTGGTCGGAGCGTTGGTCAGTTCATACGGCATTCGCTTGAATTGAAATAAGCCTTTGCCAGGAACCGCGAACGCAGTAATTTCTTTACTGGATTCTTCCAGTGGGATCTGGAAATACGCTTGGCTCAAATCGATCGTCGAAATGTAATGTGCCGTGCGTAGTTTATCCAGGATAGCGCCATATAGGGGAGGGGATATGCGTCCTTTGTCGTGACGGTGTTTACGTCTCGATAATCGATGCAAAATCGATATTTCCCGCTCGGCTTCGGGATAATTACGGGACAACTTGCCCATGCACTATCGGAGCGTTCTATAATCCCCTCCGCGAGCATCTTGTCGACCTCCGCGTGCGCGATCTCATAAATTTTCAGAAATACTCGTCGCGCACGGTGTTTGATCGCAGCGTGATCTTGCACATCTATCCGATGATGAACAAGGGTCGTCGGTCGCGGTTCTTTCGCCGGTTCTGGAATAGAGGTGTCCAGTAGTTACTGCAAGCGCTCAAGTTGATTCCCCGTTAGTTCAACGATCGCTGCACAATTGACCCGAATGACCTCCTCCGTCTCCTGTACGCCAGGTACCACGAAAGAATGGACGGGAACGGTTCCTATGCGCCAAGTCGCTAGAACAGTCGTAGACGAGATTTCGAGCATCTAGGATCGGCAAATCGCGTCTCCGCCCGTCAATCTCGATTTCAACGATTGCTTTGCCCAGGATGCGGTCCTGGGCTCCATTGGCCATCCGCATTTCCCCAGCGAATGCGGTGTCAATGCGTGATCCGAGCCACGGAACCGCGCACGGTCCTATGTAGGAACGCGCGGCCCCGCTGTCGATCAACGCCCACAACTGATGTACGGCTAATTGCAAACGGACATCGTACCGACGATCTGCGTATCTCGGTGGAAAATCGCGTCGACTTTTGTCTGATTCACGAGCTAAAACCACGACATCGACTTCACCCAGTTCGACCGGCCAAATCGCCGTCTTCTGAACAATTCGGGTGGTATGTCCTCTTTTCTCGTCTGGCAACTCCATCGTTTATCGAGTAAATAGGGTCGATGACGCGTCCCGTGTTTCTAAAAGTCGAGACGGGAGGGGCGATGTGGGAGAGGTTATCGGAGTCTTCGGAACATTCGTGCAAAGATACGAATCCTCTAACTCCCCTTTCCCCTCCGCCTTGCCTAAAAATGAGGCCCCATTGTCCTTCAGCGGGGGGTCATAACGACCCCCGCTATCGACCCACTCGCTTCGCGTTTTCCGCACGCCGTGCGGCGCAATCGGGACACGTTTTAAGCGTCTCTCCTTCCCGGTTGCACCCGTAGCAGACCCTTGTCTGATGGGACTGAGGGCAGTCAGCAGCCCAATGTTCAGGGCGCTAACAATTGTAATACCCCCCCCCCCCAGACGTCGAAGGGGTCGTGGGAATTACAACTGGTTTAGCTGGCGCGGAGCGTGGTTTCGCCGCAAGTACATTCTTTCGCGTCGGAAGGCTCCTCGGTGCCGGTGGAGGGAGTGCCCTCCTCGGGGGTGGGCGAGCTCTCGGGGAACGCCGTGGGGGCCTCTCTAATTCTCTCCGAGAACTCCACTTTTCAGAAGGATCGGACGACCTTGGCTCCGTTTCCCATCTCTTTTCTTCTTCCCATTCTATTCAAGGTTTCACCCTTTCCCTAATACTTCCTAATAAGGGTTGTCGGGTGGAGGCGCGGTCGATCGCAGCCAAGCGCGCCAAGCTCGGCGAATGGTGGTACGCCGTAAAGGGCAACAAGAGCTGCTCTGGCTCGGGTGTGGGACAAGACATCTCCGCTTGTAAGACTACGTACTCCACCTTTGACCCCAAGATGCTTAGTTCCCTGAAGGTCGAAAATTCGTCCCTTCGGAACCTTTGCTGATAAAACGGCGTCAGATTCTTATAATCTATCGCGAGGCGGTCCTGTAGGGGCGGCGGTACTTTCATGTGGGAGAAGATAATACAAAGATTATCTAGAAATGGCCGATTGGGCTTTCCTTCTCCCTGGGTCCGGCGATGTGCGTCGCTCATTAGCTGCTGTTAGTCGTCTTCGCTTCCAAAACGTTCTCTACACGCCCTGGAGAACGAACGCCACGACCGATATTTGTTTCCACGGTGGTAATACCACCGCTCTTATTTACCTGAGCCAGCTGCCTAAGAAAGGGCTCAGCCGGATCCCCGTCCTCAAAAGAAAGTCGCAACCGATTCAATATCTCGACCGCTCGGACCGTGGGCAAGTGCCTTCGTCGGCGAGAGCGTCGAGAGGAGTTGCGGCGGCGGGAGGATTCGCGACTAGTGTTGCTGTTTGATACCGTGGAATCGGTATCGGAACTGCTGCGACTAGTCCCAGAACTGGTGCTGCTCGGGGCCTCCTCCGTAGATTGATCCGTGGAGGGACTGCGACGGCGACGATGACGACGGTCATCTCGTCGTTTGACTGTTTGTTTGGGGGAGTGTCGACGTCGGGGCCGGCAACGGCGGTCACCTGCCCCTTGGTCCGATCTCTCCCCCGAGGTTTCCCGAGAAGATCGCGGGTGGGCGCGGCGGCCGTGACCTTGGTCACGACTCCGTTCTTCCAACCTTTCGTCACTACTATACTCCCTTCGGCGGGAGTGCGTAGGGAGAGGCTCGTCCTGAAGGGGGCGGATCTCTTCTTTTTTTCTGGTGTGCGGGGAATCACACCGGGCCCTTTAAAAGGCGCTGTTCTTCGCAGCTCCAGGCTGGAGAAATCCGGGCTGCTGCAGTGATTTTTCCCTCCTTGATTGCCCTCGCGCCCCCTATCCTTTTTCGATTGAGGGGGCGTAGCGGCACGAGACGGAAGGTCCTCGCTGTCTGTGCCTTGCGAGGGTTTCGGAAGGTGAGCGCGGTTATCTTTTTCGCGGCCGCGACTTTTCAGCGTCTGCGGTGACGCATCTCCCCTCTCTGGCGCCGCGCTTCGTCACTTCTTACCGCGCGATCGCCTGCTCTCCTCGACGTTGGTGCGGGCCTCGATGGGAGGGGTGCGGATAGACGATCCGCCGCGGGAGAGGGGAGAGCCCACGAAAGCGCGTCGCTGTTCTCCCTCTCATCAGACTCTCTTCGCGACGAATATCCGCTGCCCGTTTCCGCGGTCGCGACTGGAGTTCTCGCGGTCGTCTTTTTTTTTTTTTTTTATTGTGGGGAAATGCGTTACGCATACCTCGGTTTCCCTGGGGGAAAAACCGAAGTTATGTGGGACATCGGGGAGGGGAGCGCCAAAGGCGCGCCCGTCCGCGATGGCTACCCACTAAAACCCCACACCCACCTAAGCTACATGGGAAGCGGCTGGATCACGCGAGTACTCGCAGGAGGCTTCCCAGCTTACATGAATCCCGGGGGGAGGGTGTTAGCTTCCCCCACTACCTACTCTATAAGACCCCGGGCGGAGGGACCCGCCCATTGTCCCCATCCCTGAGGCCGTCGGAATGGGCTTCCCGAGCCCCCGCTCGGTCCACCCATAGCCCCCGGCATCTTCGTGTCCGTACTGGTTCAGGAAACAAAGAGCTTCCTGAACGCCAGGACAAGAAGACGCCGACATCGGTAAGGGAAGGTCGTCGGAGGCGTGATCCGGCACGCCCCGATCCTCCCCACCCCACCCCCCATGCGCTCCCACAGGACCCGTTGGTCCAAGTGGGGACGGGCCGACCACACAACCTTGGCCCGTCTCGAGGGGAATTATACCCCCTCAGGGGGCCAGGGTCAGCTCAAGCCCCGGCTCCTCACATTCACCGCCTCCATGCGAGGCACCTGTCGTCGCGGGGGCGCCCCTCGCGGCTCCCCACTATTCATACCCCCACGCAGGGGGGTACGCCGGCGCGAGGGACGTCCCCGCGCCCATCTCCTCCTTGCCGAGCCCGGGTCTCTTTCCCGGGCTCGCTCGTCGGCCTCCTTCTGCGACATAACCTCCTCGCAAAAGGTGACCGCCGCTTTCCACGACCTCTCGCTCGAGGCCATGTGGTCGACCATGGCCGCGAGGGAGAGGTCCCTCGCGGGGTCGCCTGCAGTCGGCGATCCCCTAGGGGCGGGGAATCAAAAAAACTCACGGGGTCCTTCCACCGGCCCGCCGATTGACCGGTGGGCAACCACGCAGCGGTCTCGGACACTCCTCGTGAGGGACCCGCGATCGGAGTCCCAAAAGGGCCTCGCGGGGTTCCCAACCTGGAAGAAGGTGGTTCCGCGAGGAGTTCGATCGGCCGATCCGTGGTCCGCCGCTCTGGAAGCCGCTTTCCGAGGGTGGTCAGTCCTCTCGGTGGTGGCCACACCGCGAACCTGGGGGGAAGACGCCGCCCCCGGCGACTTGCCGCGCTCACGCGAAGACACGGCCCTATCACGGGGGGGGGGGGGGGGGTCTAGGGCCCACGGTTCTCTCATCCCTCCACTCTCGCGGACCACCTCCGGCCTGGGGTGTCCGCCGAGGAGGGAGCGAGGCCCTTTCGGGGGTCAGGGTGCTTTCGTGACGGGCAGAAAAAGTCTGCCCCGTCACACAACATTCTAAAATTAATCAATCCTACATTCATTATATACTCGTACATTTTAAACAATCTAGTTTCATTTGATTTGAATTTTGCATGCAAGTTCATATATCTTTGACTTGACTGAATGTCTAGGATGTCTTCTTCTACTAGTAACCCACTCCAAGCAGGTTAACCCGCTCTTCCTACAATTCAAGAACCGTTCCTTCGTGGTTAGTATGGGTTACAGTAACCTTTCCTTCATTAACCGGGTTTGGGTTAGGGTTCAGCAGCGGTTCGAATCCCTGCCCTTGCGATGAATCTGCGACGTTCATACCTTATGTGTACAGGATAAAAAAACCTACAATAATTTTAGCTGATCCTGTAATTTTTAATACATATGTATCTCATAATAATAGCCGCCCGTTTGTCTATACATGAACATATGTATTTCACGTGCGACCATAGCCTGGTGGATTCGCGCGGTCTGCGTACAATGTTATATGAAAATTTACAAAACTGTAGGAGGAAAATGTATCATATTATATATGAATGGATTCAGAAAGAAAGTTCCGTTCATTTTTGTCACTATATAAATTTGTATATCTCTTAAAATAATGTAACAAAAATCTTTTCGTTATAAACAAATTACGTTTTACAAAATCTGTGACCACTTTTTGTTTTACCTCATAAAACTATGAAACTTTTCCCTAAAAAGATTTCTTATATCTATTGTAGTTTTCGAGATAGCATTTTTCTGCTGAAAATTTAAGGGGAGCTATAAAAAAGTACGTATGCCTTATTTTTACTTGCTTAATGCATCCACCAAGTTCCATCAAAATCGGAGACGGACGTTCGGTATGTTCCCTTGTGAGTAAAAAAGCTTTAATAAACATAGGTCGAAAGGTCAACCTTTTGTTTGCTAATATCATGATTGACTTACTTGTTTCCATTGCTTGCGATGTTTATTTTAGTGCTTATAAATCGTGTTCTGAATTATCTTATTCAAGTGCTAACAGTATATCTCATTGAGGAATTGTCAGTTGTGGATCGGCGATTGTAGATATTACACAGTTGCAAAGTATCGTGAAAATGTCAGTGTATTATGCGAATGAAGAAGTGGCAGATATGCATTTTATGTATGGCCGTGATAATGGAAGTGCTTTAGCTGCACAACGTATTTACGTGAAAAAATTTTCTAATCGAAAAGTTCCCTCTTACATGCTGCTTCAAAAACTTCACTACCATCTTTGTGAAACAGGTTCACTTACACCTTGTCATCGAAACTCTGTAAAAAGAAGATGCCAAACGTGTGAAGAAATATAAGGTGGGCACGTGGAAAACCTTCTGTAAACATCGAAAACTCAGTATTAAGTCAATTATGATAATAAACAAACATGTTTATAGCTCAGAAACAGTTGACTTTTCGACCTATGTTTACTAAAGCTTGTTTACTCAGTAGAGTGCCATATACAATGTGTTTCGTTTATCTAACAAAGTAAATATCTCGTGACGCACAGAAGTTACGAAAAAAATTTATGTGCAAAAATTGTTCGGTTTGTAGGGTACAATCATATGATGTCATTTTTTTCGGGCCTGGAATAGTAGGGAGGGGGGATTTCAAAGTCAAAATAAGTTTTTTAAATGGAACTATATATTTTTTTTTTTCATGGCCTGACAGCTTTTTTCAAAAGCAATTCAACGCTATATCACATTATTTAATTTGTTGTTTCCAAACATTACAAATTATATTATAAAGTTGTAACGTTTTGAGTAGGTAATGGTAGGACATATCAGGTTGCCGCGGCTATTAGCTGGAACACTGTTGTCATTTGTTTTGATGAGTTGTGATATTTGGCTCGAGTCTCATTTATTTTGAGAAAGTGCAATACTAGATGTGCTAACCCACCAATAATAACACAAGAGTATACTATAAGTAATGACTTTATTACACGGTTACGTACAACCTTACGCCGCGTAAGTTATGCGTCACAACGATAATTCAAACTGCCATCTTGTCGGGTGGCGATCCTTCTTCCTGGTGCCTTTCGCTGCTCACCTTCTCCACTCGAGCTCTTGCCCCTCTTCGCTAACTTGTCTACCTGTGCGCATTCCCACACTAGAGATTAGTTCTGATCGGTGCTTTCGAAATTATTGAATTCCAAAAAATGTACTTAACAGTTCAGGTAAAAGCCAAATTAGTTTGTCTGCGTGGTGATAGATATTTATCCTATGCCGAAGTGACTCGGGAATTTCATAGACGGCATCCTTGTCAACAAATGCCAACAGTGCCAAGAATAGGAAACATTGTTAATTTATTCAAACAATTTCTAATGATATAAACTATAAATATTGTATTCATTTTTTTTTTATAACTTAAGATGCTTCAGGAGACATAAGAAGGTCGATCTTTGTTTACAGTGTTGCAGCTAATAGCCGCGGCAACCCAATATGTCCTACCATTACCTACTCAAAACGTTACAACTTTATAATATAATTTGTAATGTTTGGAAACAGCAAATTAAATAATGTGATATACCGTTGAATTGCTTTTGAAAAAAGCTGTCAGGCCATGAAAAAAAAAATATATAGTTCCATTTAAAAAACTTATTTTGACTTTGAAATTCCCCCTCCCTACTATTCCAGGCCTGAAAAAAATGACATCATATGATTGTACCCTACAAACCGAACAATTTTTGCAAATAAATTTTTTTCGTAACTTCTGTGCGTCACGAGATATTTACTTTGCTAAATAAACGAAACACACTGTATACCATATAAATATTGAATGGTTTTTTTTAACACCCTGTGTAAGGAAATACGCTATTAAAAGTCAATATTTTATATTTGTACGTAAAATGCGCTACTGAGAGTCAATATTTTATTACATTTGCCAAATAAATGGCTTAGCAAAAACACACGGAATTAAAATACTAAACATCTAATGCCTTTACGTGATCGTTCACTTTAGAAGGCGATACGGAGAAGAAGAGAGTGTCGATGCCCGTCGATCCTCGACACCAAACGGAAATGAATGCTCCGAAGACGTCCTGGGTCTCGTTGCCACGTCGAAGTCGACTCTTCCGTCGCTCTCTTGTCTATTCCTATAGGGTAGTTAACGCGTTCCAATGACAGGGAAACAGATGAACATACTGGGCAACGTTGTATGTAGATAAGATGAGATAAGTCAGTGCCGAGCGTTGAAAAGGTAGAGTGGAGAAACGCGCCCCGCGCCACTCCGCGCCAAAGGTCGAAACAGGTGTCGTCTCTCAATAATTATTTTTCCCTTACACCTGGTCTAAAGACCTGATACATTCAAAACACTTATCTTTACAGTTATTTTCTTGTCAATATTTTTTCAACGTGATTAAATAAGCTATGCTAATATTGTAAAACTGCGTCGCACATGTTCATTTAAGATAGTCATACTTGAAAATATATATTTTGGTCTTCTATGGCGCCATTAAAAACATTTTGGGTACCGTGATCTAACAATGAAATACACTGCACGATAGAAACATCAAAGAATGACACATTGTTAACTCGGGCCGTCAAATTAGAACATTACTTGATCATCGAAGGATCATGTCGTCGCAAATGTGTTAAAGAGTTACTTTATTAAATGTGACTATAATCCAATATGCATATATAGGTTATTGTCACAAACAGGAATGTCATATGTGATCGATTATACAGATTAAAATAATGAAAAGCTTTAAAATAAAATAAATGAGTCTTAAAACGTTTTATCTCCAAGGTATATTTAATTTTGTTTTTAAAATATGCATAAATTACAAATTCAACACATGTATTTAGTAAATGCATTACAGTGGAAAAAGGGGAAATGTTTATATATAATAGAGGTATACAATTAAAAATGATCCATATGAAGAATGATTCAGTATTATTAACTAAAAATTATTCAATTTATCAACTGGAGCAATCATTTGTTATACAAATGTAATTATTTATATCAAATCATGACAAATTTGTTTAATACATATACAAATGTTGCACATTACTGTCATTTTAAAAACATAAACAAGGAACTTAATTATTGTTCCCTAAATAATTTGTTATGTATGTATCCCTCGTTTCGTATTGGAAAGATTAATCAGAATTATCGAATTAGATTTATGCGCTTTTAAGTATAAAAACAAAGGAAATTATGCAAAAAGAAATAAAAAAGAACTTTTATCAACAGTCAAAAGTGATTTTTTAATTCCATACACACTACGTTATGGAAATATTTCTCCACTTTCCTTATATGGAATACTGATAAATGTATTTAATGATTATTATTAATACCTAATATAATCATTTATATAATTCTTATAAAAAGTACATGTACCATATATGGACTTGCGTCACACTTAGACACATTATACACAGTTTTGGATATTATAAGTTCTACAAAGAATTCTGAAACTGTAAATTGCGGTATCTTCAAAAAATTTATGTCAAGTTATGTTAACATACGTATATATGTACAGATTCATGTACATACACATCCAATCCATACTCGCGAACGTATTTCCAGTGTTAAGAAATCATTTACCAAACGTATAATTAAAAAAAAAATTAAACATTTTGTTCTTTAATCTTGACAGTTTATTTACACTGCAGAAATGGACTTGTGCATTCAAAAATTTGGCCGAATTATTATCTGTAATGCCTTATTTATATCGTGCTATAACAGCAATTTCATCCGCAATTTGTTTAATAATTCATTTTACGTTTACATTGTATATCCTATAGTCGTTTACTTTTAATCGGTAGATATTTTAGTACGCTTACGATGATAGTTCCTTGCGAGTGCATGAATAATTGTCACTAAAAAGTAACAAACCATCAATATTACAAATTTATCAAATAACCATGAAATTGTCGTTGTTCCATCCTGTAAATAAAATGTATATTGACTAATTTCCAAATATATTCCACAAAATGTAATCAATTTAAGTTAAGAAATCTCATACCGTGGATGACTTATCATGTAATTTTTGTTTTTGTTGAATAAGATATTTTTTCAAAGGCTCTTGACATTTTGAACCAACATATGGTATAATTACCAATAATTTGATAAATTTATCTAGCAGCTCCTCATTAAATGCTATTATTACTGCAAGCTGTTGAATATGCATTTTTATAACAGCCTTTCCTATAAGTGTAGCGCCAAAAAATGTCCAGAAAGGAATTAGATAATGACCACATGTCAAGCCGGCGAGATCAAATAATGGATTGGGAATCTAAAAATGATTTTGTTTTTCTAAAAGTAAATCACTAAGTTTTCATAGAGTACGAATATCTTTATTTAACACTGTCCTTTAAACGTATATGCAAATAAAAATGTAGTTAATTATCATACAATATACACTGACGGACAAAATTAAAGGGACACTTTTTTAAAACGTCATATCTATGGGAGTTTTCAACCGATTTTGGGGAAACTTCGCGAGGAGTAGTTTTGAAGTGTCCTCTAAATGTGCGCAAAGTTGCATTGGCGAGGGTTGATACGAAGTGGTTAATTCACCCCCGTAAAGAGGGGCACGTCGAAAAACGCCGCTTCTGAAGAGGCCAGGGGTGACGAAAGGGGTTGAAAAAATCAAAAAAAATCTTT